ATATCTAACGAACGTCAATCGCTCCAATACGATAGGTTTTCAAGGGTACAAGGACTGAAACCCACCACTTAAAATAGCAGACAGTGAGTTAGCGGTCATGACATTTCGGATACTACTGCAACTCATGCGTGTGTGTAAGAGAGTGTATGTTTGTTAACGTCTCACTTCAAGAAACACGATGGGCTGGGTCAAGTGACGAGGACAACACTTAAGTCAGCACCCCATTCTCCTAAATTTTAATAACGCCAAAGTGAGGACTTTTAGTCACGACAGTTTTAACATGCATCACCTTCTTTATTTGGTGGGTCTACAAGGGTATCAGGAGTGAGTGAATATTAACGTCGCACTGTTCAGCTACACGAGGGCTTTGGACGACGGACCTCGTAATTTTGAACCGTGGTCAAGTGACGAGGACGACACCTGAGCTTCCCCTCCTCTTCTAGCTACCACACCACACCAATGGGAGGACGTTTAAGCTCTCGATAGATTTAACGGGCATCGCTCCCCTACACGGCGGGACTTTAGTGGTACTGGGCTCGAACTCGTGATAAGCCAGCCACGATCCGATACCATGACCACTAGGCTACCGCGGCCACATAAGTATCAGAAAGGGAGAGTATATGAGTTTTTGTGATAGAAATATAGAGTGTATGAGAGTATATGTATGAGAAAGGGAGACTTTTTCCTGTCCATGAGAAAGGGAAAGTATATGAGTGTTTGTGATAGAAATATAATGTATGAGGGTATATGTGTATCAGAAAGGAAAAAGTATATGACTGTTTGTGATAGAGATATAGTATATGAAGTATATGTATGAAAAAGGAAGAGTATATGAGTGTTTGTTATAGAAATATAGAGTGTATGAGAGTATATGTATGAGAAAGGGAGAGTATTATGTATGAGAAAGGGAGAGTATTATGTATGAGAACGGAAGATTATATAAGTGTTTGTGATAGAAATATAGAGTGTATGAGAGTATGAGTATTGAAAAAAAGGTGAAAAAGTGTGAATGTATGAGTGAAAAGTTAATTTTTATAAACATTATTTTATATGATGTTATATATCAAGGTTTAATTGTACGAAGTTATCTGATTCCTGAAGCAATAATCCTTACTATTTAAAAATAATAATTCTATTTAAAAAGGTAGCGAAAATCTATCTATATACATGTAGGAGAAAAGCGACTCACTCATTACGAGATCTCCGAAATTATATATATATCACATTGACAGACAGACTTGAAATTTGGTTGGCATGTTTCTTTTGTTGAGGGTTGCGAGGTTTGAGGGTATTGCAAGGTTTAAAGTGGGTGTTGTAGATGGAATTCCCATGTTCTGAACTAATATACCTACAATTATAGAATTGAAATGTGTTAAACGAATTTCTTTTGTTGAATACAAATCCGAAAAAATGGATGTGGTCGAAAACGATTCCGGTGTGGGAGGGGGAAATTTTGGCGAGAGTAAAAGATAATTATATTTCCGAAAATAAATTCGCCCTGTCTGTTTTAATTAAGTTAGTGAGTGAGCACCTCACTCTCCGAACTACTACACCAACCAACGGGAGGACGTTTGAGCCTCGACACATTCAACCTGCATCACCTTTACGCGGCGGGTCTTCAGTTCATGACCATAACCTTTTGTCTATCCCAGCTACCTTTTTTAATCAAGAGGAAAAGGCTATAAGAAATGCTTTTCAACACAATCGAAAATTTAATTTTAGAACTTAGGTATCAAAAAAGTTACAACAAATCAAGTAATACAAATACAATATCATGAAATACTCAGCGCAGTGGTCGGTAACGGTTTGTAAAGGCGTAAATCATGACACAATCCTTTCTTCCCCTTGAGACACAAAATATGCGGAAAGCCTTCCCCACAGAATTTGAACTCAAAGACATTCCGCGGTGGAATTAAACCATAACTTGCAAAGGAAGAAATAATTTGTCAAGGTGCAGCAGTATCCTTACGGAGGAATGTTTTGTGTGATGGCTGCAAATGATCACACGAGAGGAATTCTACAAATAACCTGATCCCGGGAAAAGCCATTCCTTGTCACCTCATTTATTGGAACACTTCCACGAAGTCATTGGAGGCAACCCCCTTGTCACATTCGTTTCCGACAACTTAACTCCCAATGGGCTGCACGTCACCTTCACCTGTTCGAAGAGACTGAAAAATAATTTGTAATTATATTTGTGTCTCGCATGTACTTATAGTTAAGCATGCGTTCGCTATGACATAAAAGATAAAATAATGTCTAAAATGATTTTCTTAATTGTAGGAAAAGATTTCCCGTTGATTTTTGACACAATAAATGTTAATTAGTTACGATATATATATATATATATATATTATATATATATATATATATATATGGCTCTCATCACAATAAACTGACGATTTTTCATTGGGTAGATTATGCTTAACAGAGATATTTCAATTTATTAGTTACGAATGTATTTAATTGTACATTTTGAGAATAAAGATCTTTTTTTCGAACAATTTTTTTATGATATCTGCAACTTGTTCTTTGGAATGTGACATAGTTAATTTTTTTTAAAATAGTATAACCATTATTTTTAAAAATTAATGATAAAAAAGCTACTGAAAAATTACGCCACAAAAGTCTTCTTACACTTAAGAAAAATCTCAATATACTGTGGAACGTCGTTTAGCCGAATAAATTGGGACCGGACACCGTTCGGGTAACCCAAAACCAAATGCGATCCATGCAGTATATGATACTGGACACTATACAAATATTGAAAATCCTCACATGCGGGAAACGTGCTTGAAGAGAAAGCAAAATAGGTGCAAAATGTCGCAACTTTACCTTGATTGTGGAAAATAATCACTTATTTTTCGCTGTACCATTGTACACCATCGTTTTTACAATGCAAGGTCTCTGATTCTCTTCAGCAGCAGTAGTTGAGTAGGACAGCACTCTGATTGTTGTTCGTACCACTCCATAGCTGTCTGTAACGCATAAAACGCGTCAGAATTTGTTACTTTCGTTATTGTTGTCCTCGTCTTCATCCTTTTCATCGACGACAGGTTCCGATTCTTCTTGCACGGAAGTCACAATCTCGTCATCATTTAGCATTTGAAATCCACAATCTTCTGCATCGCATGTCATCCTGGTTCCTACATCAACAAAACTTAACAAAAGAGCACGTATGCACCACCTCACTTAGAAACAAACTGACCTATTATTCCGCGCAGTTGTTTACCAAATCACACAGCTTAAATTCTCCAAATATCTATCACCTTGGGTTTTCCCATCACTTTTTGCCTCACAGGAAACAAATGTTGAGCATTGCACTGATCGAAAACGGATCCGGACTTTGGTTCGGATATTTAACGCTCCGGATAATAAACGTTTGGATAAACGACATTCTACAAAGCTTTTAATATTGTATTTCTTTCTTAATTTAGTACTCAATAGGATATCTTTTAGCGTCCACAGCAACTTTTAAACGTCTTGGTATAGATTTAATCAGTTTTTTTGTAATTTCTGCATCGGTTTTCCTCCATGTTTCTGTTATTATTGTTTTTGCTTCCCATTATGTGTTTATATGTCTCATGTTTTCTTTTTTATAAATCAAATTCTCACCAAATATGTTGTACTGAGCTAAATAAATGTTTGAGGAGGTGTTTTCAGAATTTTGGGATAGCTACAGAGACACTAGCGGCGTCCATTAAGAGCAGTGCGCTTGGCGTCATTATCCTGTTAAAAAACGAAATCGTCTCCAATGTCTAAATTTTAGGCAGATAATTTAAAATTCCTCTTTAAAATATTTAAATATTGGTCATGATTCCAACACCCATCAAAAATACCAAATTACCTAATCCTAAAGCCGATACCCTTACGCAAGAACACCTCCACATAAATTCATGGGAGCAAATTCCTCATTTTTTCATTTACAAACTAATATATGCCCATCAGAACCAAAAATGTTGAATTTTCTGTCATCCCAATCAATTTGCTGTCAATTTTGAATTTTCTGAAACTTACTCCCAAGAAACTAGTTAGATCATTGAACTATAGAGGTGGAAGTGTTCTAGTGTAGAGATGTAAATCAGCCTCAAAATTATATAATTTGGTATTTTTTTATGGTACTATGAATCACACATAAGCTCTATTTAAATATTTTAAAAAGAAATTTTAAATTATCCGCTCAAAATTTGGATATTGGAGGCGACTTCATTTTTTAACAGGATAATGAAGCCAAGCGCGCTGCTCTCAATGTACGCCGCAGGTGTCTCTATAAATTCTGAAAACACCACCTGAATCAGTTTATTTGGTGAGAATTTGATTTTAAAAAAAAAAGAAAACATGACATATAAACACATACATGATTATTGTTTTTACATGAAGTAAAAACAATAATCACAGAAACATGGAGGAAAATCGATGCAGAAATTACAAGAAACTAATTAAATCTATACCAAGACATTTAAAAGTTGTTGTGGACACTAAAAGATATCCTATTGAGCACTAAATTAAGAAAGAAATACAATATTAAAGATATGTTGAGACTTTTATTAAGTGTACGAAGACTTTTGTGGCGTCATTTTTCAATAGCTTTTTGATTATTAATGTTTAAAAATAATAATTATACTATTTTTCAAAAATTAATTATGTCATTACATTAAGAACAACTTGCAGATATCATAAACAAATTACAATTCCAATACTTTAATTTTTATTAGTCGAAAACATTAAATTTTATGGGAAATTGTAAGTGTACAAACACTTTTGTGTGTGGCCACGTATATCTTGTTCAATTTTTTTTCAATCGTTAATAAAATGCTTTCTATTCATTCCTTCAAGTTCAAATACATTTTTTTAAACTTCTAGTGGATGATACTTGATGTTAATATAGTTTATACAGTTTTTTCGAACATTAATTCAGTAATTAAATTTAAAAATGAATCAATAGAAACAAACAAAATAATAGTCCAACAGCATATATAGAAAGAAAAGTCGTTTGTTCTGTCCCTGTAGCGGAAGGGATATTGCGTTGGACTTTTAATTCAAAGGTCGTGGGTTGTTCGAATCCCACCTGGGATAGCCTAATTTCTGAGTATGTGATTTCTTTTTTGCTGTACTATTTTATTAAAATAATTAAATTTAATTAATAAATAAACAGTAAAATAAAACAGTCCGACACCATACATGGAAAGCAAAATGGAAAATTTTTGCATGGAAAATCGCTTTTTATTTTGTCACTTAATAGTGTGATTCTTCCTATGGATATACATATTTATATTAATTATAGCTATTTAATAAAAGTAACTAAAATAAAAAATTTATTTCTTGACCTAATTAGGAACACTATGGCTTAATTTTGTTTATATATTACTTCTTAGAAATAAATTTATTCTTGGCTACTAATATCTTATGTCTACATAATCCATATAAATTACAGTTTTACACTCTAAATAATGAATATGAACAGATGTTTTCACTGTACAATGTGGATTGGTCCACCTTTGAGATTATCCCCTCCCCTTGTTATTATAAAGAGAAATAGAAATGTTATTTTCGATACATGTTCAGTTCAATGTCGTTTAAAATTCATCAACATTTGCCCCTGAAGCCTAAGCATTTGTCTAAGTAAATTGAAAAGAGAATTGAAATTTATAATTAGTAACGCGCGCGCGTTTAAAAACTCAAAAAGGATACGATGAGTTAAATATATAAAAAAATCCACTTGTGAAATATAAATCTTAAAATAAAAACCTAATAGATGCGCACAAGTTAAGATGGTTTGAAAAATATTTTATAACTCGCGAGTATATATTTTTCTATTTTGATGCATATTCGGTTAAAGGGAGAAGAAGCCAATTTTTTGACGACTAGTAAAGCTCTCCAAACTAACTATATATAGCGATGGGTGTTCCCAGAGTTTGCAAAGTAGAATTTTTCAAAGAAAATAGTTGCCGCGGTAGCCTGTTGGTCAAGTCACAGACTCGTGGCGAAAGTATCATGAGTTCGAGCCGCACCGCTGAAAACCCGCCGTGCAGAGAAGGCCGATGCATGTTAACACTGTAGCGGCTTAAACGTTCTTCCATTGGTGTCTCGTGGAAGTTAGGAGAGGTAGTGCCAGCCCAGGTGTCGTCCTCATCACTTGACCATGGTTCAAAATGACAAGGTTAGTCGCGAAAAGCCCTCGAGTAGCTCAATAGTGCGATTTTAATCTTAATTCACTCACTATTCAAAGAAAGTAAACAAATAATAATAAGGAGTACAAAAAAAAATTTTAAAATTATCATTAAAAAATTAAAATAAATTTTAAAGTAATTTTAATTTTAAAAAATTAAAATTAAATTCAAAAATAAGAAATTAAAAAAATTGGCTCTTACTTTCCCTTTGTGTTTCACGGACGTTTTTTCCCTTTCGTTCTAAATCATAAAAACAATCTATATCATACCTTTCACACATACTGTTAGGATAATTCAAAAGATCAACTTCAAAACCGGAAAATCCAACAGCAAATAATTCAGAATAAAATTTTCTGAAACATCGACACGAAACAAATTGAAAATACGAAATAAAAACGAAGGACTAGTTTATTTGAAAACCATTTCTCTTTTTAAAATCATTTGCAAATTTTAAATAACCGAAAGCAATTAAGTAAAAAGAACACGTGACCTGACGACATAAGACCATATTTTCAAATACAAGGGTTGCCAAATTATATAGTCTGCCAGAATGAATTCGTCATCTCACCATGAGATCTAGATAAACATTGCTAAATCCACCTATTCTACAATTTAGCCGCATATTCAATCAGGGAAGAAAGTGTTATTTACATAATTAAGCGTTCAGCGGAACATTATTTTTTCTAATGATTTCTTTATAACCATTCTTCTATTTTTTTAGCTAATTTTACTTTCTTTGGATTATAATTATGTCGTTAATTTAAAATTTAATAATGCAGTTGAACATTAGTGTTAAGATAAAAGCCGTCGTTATTAATTTAAATTATGGTCATTTAGATACTTTTTTTACCAATGACATTTTTTTTGTTCAAAAAAATTTATTTTAAAAATTCAGTGCACGCAGTTTTGTAAGAATTAAAAAGAATTTAATTAGCAGTTACATATGCATATTCTTTTTTATTTTTAAAGTATTTTGGAGAAGCGTACTTGGCATTTTTCTTGATTTGAATTCATTCATTTTACTTAAGTTGAGCTAGAAATGAGTTTTTTTTAATAATAATTTAATTTCTCAAATGCCAGTAATTATCGTAAAAACCTTTATTAAAAACATTTGTGTCTTTTCTAATCTATTATCATACGTAATTTAAGAACACAAGTTATTTTTCTAAAGGAAAAAAAAATAACTAAATTATATAATATGTACATATAAGATGATTGAATGATATCGCGTAATGCAATCCTTATAATAAGCAATAGAGAAAACAGTTTAAGTATTTCTAAAATGAACGTGGGACCTTGGGAAAATAGATGGGTAGCGAAAAAGAGAGTTAAGAAATTAAATAATTGATTTATTTACGTCCACAATTTTTAACCGCTTGCACTCAATCCTTTTTGCATAATGAATTTTATTATACACGAAAAAAATTTGTTACTCCAGTGAATAATTTAATGAAGAGAAAATATACCTGCATACTTTTTTGATAATTGAAAAAAAAAACTGAACCAAAAAGTTTCAAATGTGCATGACTTAATCATGACTTTAATAAAGGACACAAACACAGAGACATTTTTTGCTAACATAACAGAAATGTTATTTGCATACAAAACTGTCGCCTTTAGTATAAGTTATTGTAGTTTTATTGTCCCGAGATCGGCAAATAGCATGAACTTTTTCTAGTATGTGTGTTTTTGACAGGGCGAAGTGTGTCTCAAGGTACACTTGTGGCTTCATATTTTTCTTGAAGGAGTTCTTTAGGTATCATTTTAACATTTTCCTTTCAACCCAAGCGTTTCACGTTTATCGCTTTTCTCAAATTCATTTTTCGCTATCATGATTTCTATCCATTATTTCATCAGGATCTTTCTTTGCTTGATCAATTTCTTTTTTTAAAGTTTCAACCTTATTCAATAGGTATCACAGATGCCCATTTTTTTCAATTCCTACTATATTAGCTCTCTCTCTCTCTCTCTCTCTCTCTTTATATATATATATATATATCTTGTTCGAATTTTCAATTCTTAATAAAATATTTTCTATTCATCCAATCAAGTTCAAATAAATTTTTTTTAACTTGTAGTGGATGACACTTGATGTTAATACAAATTTTGATCAATGACCTATTAGTGTTCATGCTAACCAGATATGCAACAGTCTTAGCAGTTCGAGAGGGCCACGTGGTCGTGGTAGCCAAGTGGTCAAAGGTATCGGATCATGGCTAGCGTGTTATAAGTTCGAGCCCGGTACCACTGTAGACCCACCGTGTAAGGGCGCGATTCACGTTAAATCTGTTGAGATCTGAAACGTCCTTCCGTTGGTTGGTATTGTAGTTAGGAGAGAGGGGTGCCAGCTCAGGTGTTGTCCGCGTCACTTGACCATGGTTCAAAATTACGCGGTCAGTCGCCAAAAGCTCTCGTGTAGCTGAACAGTGCGACGTTAATATTCACTCACTCACTCCCTCGAGAGGGCCACGCATCATGTTAAACAACCTGTATCACTTCCAAACAATCAGTTTTCTTTTTCTTTTCTTTTTTTGTCATTTATATGTAAACAAATTGTTGCCCTGAAACAGTGTTTAATCTTCTTCAAACCATTTGAAAAAATTACAGTTCATATACAATTGATGTTTGGTTCATTTTTTCAGTATTGCGTTTTGTTATACCTGTATTCTCCATTTTATGTCCATGCATGCCTATCGAAAAGCGGTTTCTTCACTTTTTTTTGTTCGAACCTCTAATCTTTTTGAGCAGTGAAAAACAACAAAAACAAATCTAATGTCAGTTTGAATGCGATGGAGACTGTATTTATCACGTGCCCCAATGAATTTAGTCCATTGAAAGAAAGAAATATCTTTTAGAATAAGAATGCGTGAGTGGAGAGACAGACCGATTTAACTTTTATTTCAAAACTTTATAGAGTGCCACATGACATAAGTTGCTGGCACTTGGTCAAAAGCAACCATCCTTCATAACACGATGAAGCTCAAACCGTTTTCGAGCAGAAAATCACCGCACCTTTTCTCACTAAAATTAATTATAATTGACTTAAGACACAGCGCATGCGCCGCGTAATAAAAGAGCACAATCGCTCTTTTAAAAGATCGGAAGTCTTTTTCTGAAGTGTCAGCTTCCCATAAAAAGAAATTTCGATCGTTAGAAGGACTTTTTTTTTTCAAGGATTCGCTGCAAATTATGTTTCTTTTCAAAGAAATAAAATAGCTTCTGTGTTATTATCTCTCCTTTTAAATTGGAACATCAAGCTGAAAAAAGGTGTTGAAGATGAGATAAAACAAATACAATTCTGACTTTCTACTTGATATAGTTCTCAGTTTTTGTTTTCTTATTGGGCGCTTTAAAATGCTTTGTGATTATGGTTCGGTGTCCCTTTCTCTTTAATTTAGAACATTTCAGAAAGGTACCTCCTTCGTATAAATTACTTGTTTTATACCGCAATATTTTTCTTCGGGTAAAAAAGGAGAAAGGTTTCGAGGGAGTAATTATACATAGAAAATATAATTTAGATGCAGAAAATTTTTAATTCCTTGACATCTGTGTGGTATATGTAAAGCCCTCCTCCACTTTTTTTTTAAAAAAATTTATTTCAAATCCATTTTTTTCCATTAAATAATCGCGTATATGGGTTATTTTTTTTTGTTTTATAAATTATTGATATTATTACATATTCTCCTATTGTTTCTCAGACTGAATAAAAACTATTAAAAATTTTCTACCAAAAAACCTAAATTTTCTAAAAATCAAAACTTTTAAGAGTTAAAAAAAACTTTTTAAGGAAATCGTCCGCTTTTTTTTTGTACAAAATAATTTTAAAAAGGAAAGGCATCTCCGGAAACTAAGTAGTGTTTCGTTCTGCCACAACCGCTTTGTGTAGGAGTTCAACACCTACGCACA